ATTCGCCAAATTTAGTTCCCAGTGACTTCTTTATTATCCCCAAACTGAAAATTGGACACGGAGAATAAAGATTATCGTAGAATAAGAAAAAATGAAGAATGAAATGAAAACGTAAACAATCATTTTATTACTGACAAATACGCCAAGAGAACCAATATATACGGATTGATTAGGTCATGGCAGAACTGTGTTTTGCTGATTCAAGAGATTACTTAATGCAGGAAAAAATATAAACTTAAAAAAAAATGTTTGGTATCACTGAGTTTCGTTATACGTAGATAGATGTCTTGTTCTCGTGTCTGTTGTGAATTAATTTTAAAAGCCATTAAAATTCTACAAAAAGGATTTTTATTTTTACGTTACGATTCAAAAGAGAAATACCTAACTGTTCCAATATTAAAGTAAATAAGTAAACCCATAATAAAGTTATAAACAATTATATTTTTAACAACGTTTCTTTTAAATCTTATTTAATATTAATTATTTATTCTATTTGAAAGAAATGCTATAATAATCTTATTATTAGCACTAAGGGTAAATATACTAAAAGATACAGCACCCCACAACCACGACATTAGTTATGTATGGTTAATATATAAAATAAGCAGGTTCTGTAGACAAAAAGGCTGACCAATAGGATAGTGTTCTTCGATAAACGAACAGAAATAAGTGGTGTATATCCTACAGATATTCTTAACCAGGTATGCTGTGCCTTTTATATATTTAATCTAAAGCTGTGACCGCACATGCGACATTTGGCAATTTCCGAGCGCTCCTCGCCGATCTCCGATCAGTGTGGATAGGGAAGTTGAAATTCGGCGACGAGAGCGAGTGCTCGTCTTTATGTTATTGCTATCAGAGCTCGGCGATGCCCTCATGTGTGTGAACGGAAGTCCGATGACGAGCGCTCGCAAATCGCAGACTGTCGCATGTGTCGCAATGCTTCAGGTACTTACTTTTTAACCACTGCCTCGTAGGCTTGCTTCAACGTAGACAACGTAGTCTCCATGGTCCAAAGGGCACTTTAGCGCGTTTAAAAAAGTGTACCTCTCTGAAGCCTACATATCTGGCTGGTGATTATATTGTCTACTAAATTTCGTCTCGAGCTCTACAGCCCTACTTTGTGCGACACTGCAGTACTTAGGTATCTACCGGGAAATTTAATTATTTTTATATAGGGGGTTGTTACAACAAAACATTGAATCAGAATTAGTAGGAACCATAGATAAATGCAACAAGTTTAGATCGGAAAGCCCGTAAAAATTTTGGGTCGCGAAATTATTTTGGGTCGCGACCGTTATACGCGATCTGGCGCTGCTATAGCGGTCGCTAAGAACAACGGCAAACAAAAACAGAAATAATTTTCTCTTGTCAAAGTCAGAATCTTCAAAAATCATAATAATCTTTCAAAATCTAAACCGCTCTCATTAAAGAAATTCCGAAAAGTGTTTATAGCGTCCATTTTCAAAGTAATAATTGCTATCTTGTGAGAAAATTCAAGTTTTATTTACTCCAACCGGAGATAATTGTGAAAAAGTGGCATTAAAAACTTAAAAAGCTGTGCTGTGAACTGTGAACTGCAAAAACCATCGTGGATCGTGGCATAACGTCGGTTTCCAATGTTTTATAGGTATTTCATACATGCGTCCTTATATAAAATAAAGTTTCTTGTATGCAACACAATGTCTTTTATTTATAAAATTAAACAAAAATAATAATAAATTTGAATAAGGGCACTTTAGCGCGTTTAAAAAAGTGTACCTCTCTGAAGCCTACATATCTGGCTGGTGATTATATTGTCTACTAAATTTCGTCTCGAGCTCTACAGCCCTACTTTGTGCGACACTGCAGTACTTAGGTATCTACCGGGAAATTTAATTATTTTTATATAGGGGGTTGTTACAACAAAACATTGAATCAGAATTAGTTTCATTTATCTATGGTAGGAACTACGTATCACCACAGAACATATTACATATATCGTATGACAATCGATGATAATATTGGCGAGGTTTATCGCTTACGTCATTTCATAAAACTGACATAAAACTTGTCAAAAATTAACATTCGTTTAAAAAAAAGAATAGAATGTTTCTAGACACACACATCTATTTCCAAAAAAAAATCTCGAATTTTAAACTACATACGCCATTTAAACATAATTTTTACTCAAATAAAAATAAATTACAACCTTCTTGTGGCCAACTGGCGGTAAGTACCATTAAAAGATATGGTACAGACCAAGTAATGAAGTCTAGGGCTTCACCTCGCCAAAAATATCGTTGATTTTTAATTTCCCAGGCGTCTTTGACGCCGTTTATATGTATACGTATACGTACGTATGATAAAAAAAACTCGAACTAGAAGTATGTATATATTTTTCTTTCCTTTTTAATTCTGCTCCTATCATTTTTAGTTCATTAGGCAAATTTGTTCACAAGTAAAATGGCATTGACTGCTTGCACATTGAAGCTAGTCTACAGTTGGATTATACGCAGTAGATTTTTCAAAAAATTAAAAAACTCTTTTTTAATATTTGCAGTTAGTTCAGAACTATTTTGTTTTTCCTAATAAAATGTACTTGGACGACACAAATCAAATCGGAGAATCTGCTTTATAACGAGCTGACTTGAGTTTTTTTCCTACGAATTCTAATTCAATGTTGCCGCCCGCCGGCTGCAATGTAATGCTATTGTTAATAAACTTACTCAAAAGAAAGACGAAAGGTGTTTAAGTTTTCTTCCAGACAAAAATAATATATTAATCAAGTTGAGAACCCTAAACTTATTTTTCAAAAAATACTGATTCCTTGACAATCATACAGATAGAAACAAAAGTTACTTTTAGTATGTCAAAACAACAAAAGTCAGGCTGTGTCAAAACTTAACACCCTGTGGAAAAATAAATCAGTAAAATGTAGCTACATTAGGTTTAAATCCAGTCACCTTTAGATGTTATTGCATTCATGTTAGTATTTAGTATATCGCTCGATTAGTGATCGGCAAATGAAAGGATAATCAAACAAATATGCGCACGCAGCTTATGGTTTGCGAACAGTCCTTGATAAATGGGATAACAACCTTTAAAAAGAAATTCAAAACTACACTGAAACCGTACCATGTCATATGGTTGGTTAGGCGAGGTGAAATTTAACGAGGTAGCAATACGCGATATAAAAGATAATGTAATGTTCCGGATTGTTAACTAAATCGAAAGAGTGCAACACTTACTTTAAAAACCAGTATCTTATAAAAAGCCAATAATAAAATAATAATCAAAAAGGTTTAATTTTTCCCCCACAAGACGTTAAAACTTTAAATCCTTAAGAAAAAATACGCCTGTATGTGGGACCACTTCCATTTACTTCAATGCATTTAAACGTTTCGCGGTCCTCTCCGCCTTCGCTAGGTCGTACGCCTCATGTGGTGCCACGCACTAAGGGTATACAAGTAACTTTATTTATATCAGTATAATGATAAGGAATCATTTAACATTCAAGATTAAAGATGTAGGACTGTCAATTTGACTAAAATTATCTTTGATCAGAATTTATTGTCGGAGTGTTTAGAAAATTGAGAAAAAATGAAACCCCATATAAATCATCTTCATGGTATTCATATTCATACCACATTTTTTTTCAAGTTGATACGTCATGTAGCAAATATTTTTAATGGAAATATCTTATTGTAAACACACAAAAATAGCTCCAACCTAGACATCATGTTTGTGCAAAAAAGTCGAATTACTATGGAGACCAGCCCTGCACCATGTGATTTTAATAAATGAACACCTCAGATATACTTAAAAATTGCATTCTAAATGTGATCCTATGCGCCTTGAACAGCATTTCCGATCATATTCCACTTGTCTGCCCTCCGTCGTGTCGTCTAACTGCCGCCCTCCGTGTCTATTTTAATCGTTGGTATTATTTCTACACATCTAACAAAATTATTCTACATTAGACTAGAGACATGTACGGACTAAAATTTTCAAGTTCAAGCCAAAAAACTTTGCACCGATGTTTTGAATAAAGGTTCCCACAGACGCTCAGTTTTATCGCCAAACCAAACCTGGTTTGTGCAGACATATCGGTACGTGTATGGGTAGTTCCGGCCGACTGTGCAGGTCGTTGACCGTCCTGACCTGTACGAAATCCGATCTGTACGAAATCAGGCCTTGCTTGAATTCGGCCTGCGCAAATTTCGGAGCAAACCTACGTATGCTCGTTCATTTTTTTTCAGTCCGTTTATATTTTCAGTCTAGGATTAAATAGAAACAAAATGCCGATGTGTCGTAAAAAGTTTTTATGCCAATGTATTGAACTATATAAAAGCATATCATGCTCACAGAAAATAAAAATTAAGAATTATAAATGGCGAACACGATAAAAAATTCTCAGCGTATGAACACTTCGTACAGCAGAAATACTAAAGAAGATTTCGGAAACAGAGAAGCAGTTGTTTAAAAGGTCAACAATTTAAGTTCTTTTGGAAAAAACTAGACAGTCTCAAAAAGCAATAATTTAGCGTAAAGCTACGCAAACTGCTTAAAACCGCGCAAACTGGCTTGCACAGTCTAGCGTGCCTATGTTAAGAACCGAGTGTCTGCGGAGCCTGTAAGATTTTTTCTCAATTCATCCATCCCTCTAAGTGTATGGAGGATGTATTGAGGAAAAATAGACACTTAGGTCCGGATGTTCATCACTTCACTTCATTAGCTTCACAACTGAAATTGAATACACCGTTTTCGAGGCTTAAATTGCGCTCTTAAAAATATTTTATAATATTAAACAAGAAAAATATACCTGACAGAACTGCCGACTTCAGCATTATTCAGAGTTCACTGGAACTCGAATTTTAGCCATACACAATCAGGCCTTAACCTTATTCAAAACGTCGATTCAAAGTTGTCCAATTGTTTACAGGGGTAAACTGCATAAGAATGCATAACATCGAAATTTATTCAAAAATAGTCAGGATATGAATATTAATTAAAAAAGATTTCTCTAAAAAAATTTATTTCTAATAATCATCTATAAATTAGTTAATTTTTAACAATCCTTTTCGTGCTAATATCCTCCATCTCCGCATAGATGGTGCTAGTTTGACGTATGTATAGAAATGTTTTGCCTGCGGATGTCTGAAACAATCCAAAAATATACACGTTAGCACCCATTATATCAAAAGTACTGTTCGGTTAAAAAAAGCGCCAGTAGCCTTTCAAATAGTAATACAGTAGACTGTCGATTATCCCACTCTTTAGTACTAGCGATGGGAACTATCGAATGAATTAGACTATCGAATGGTTACTGAATGAATGATTTCAACTATCGAATGGTTTTATTCGAATAAAATAATTCATTCATTTGTATACTGAAGCATATGTGACAACCTCACCGTGCGACTAAATGGTTAATCGTTGAGCCACGACTATCGTATGCTTTTGATAAATGAAATTTAGTATTATGTTTAGTATTCCTTTGATTTTTGTGTGATCAGTGCTTTATTAGTGAGTTCTTGCAAATTTTTATAGCTTCGCCTTGTAAATACTGTGCAATTTTTGCGTTTATTAAAATATTAAAATAGTAGTTTCTTTTTTAAATTGACGATTGTGTGCGTGTGGTCAATTTTGTCCGAAAATTTGTGTGATTTTCCATTATTACAGTTGAGGGTTGGAACCTTTGGTGTTACACAGCAAAATAAAACACTAAATCACCACAATACACCAAAACACTTTTACTTTTACACTGGATGGGCGTTTCGCTAACCATCTTAGCATCATCAGCAGATGATTATAAACTAAAATACAATCTACAATTAGAGCGTTTATATACTCGCTCAGTGGGCACAAAGTGGGCGTGGCAAGATCTAGCCAACCGAGTCAGAACCCACCAAGCGTAACAGTTAGCTTTCCGCCACTAGAGTAGTAGGAACAAAGAACTTGAAGGAACTGGACCATTGTCTTTGTTCATACTATCTTTTCATTTATTAATTCTGATGCTTTCATATGCATCTAATTGCCTGTAATTTGAGACTTGTTTAATTAATTTCAAGTTATTAAGATCTATACAATATCCTTTATCAACAATATGTTCGGCAACGCAATATTTATCCGGTCTACGATATCTTATCTGAGCTAAATGTTCTTTAAATCTAGTTAATATTGGTCTTCTAGCTTGCCCAACATATTTCTGATTACATATATATAATTTATAATCATCTGCTGATGATGATAACCCAGTATTTGCTTTAAAATATTAAAAATCATTTTCCTACATCCAAAATAAAAAGTATTATTGCAACAACAGAATATTAATAAAAAAAAATGCAAAATATGTATATAGACATACTATCCCTAACTAACTAATGCCAAAGAATAATATTCTTTGCTAATATCAACTAATACCAATATATGGCAACAGCGCCCTTCGTAATGTATTTTCTGTGTAAATACTGGCAACTCGATAAAAAAAATAATGTGTCCTTATCTTTATCTGACTCCGCAAAAAATCAAAGATGCCGGCTTCTTTCATAGCATTGCCACCGACCGCTGTCGGGTTTCTAAGAAAGAAACCTACGTCGCCGGGCTACAACTAAAATCCTGTTTATATTTTATTATAATCGATCCTGACGAATAAATGAATTTTAAAAATGAATGAATTTTATAAATGAATGGTTTTTGCTGCCGAATTACTAGAATAAAATATTTCAAGGCAGATGACGCATCTATTCGATAATTTTTATTAGAAGTTTTCGACGAATATTTTCTTACTAGCTATCAAATTATTCGAATGAATTGCAACTATCGAATGTTTCGATAGTATTAATTCGATAGTTCCCACTACTATCTAGTACTCTAGTTTCCGATCGCTGGATTATCCAAGCGTATCCGAGTTGAGTTACACCGTTTAACGGCGGTGTAACTCCGTATTAACCGAGTGACGCTGTATTATTCGAGCATGAGGCCTAATATATCGGGTAATTATGGAGAATCCCAGAATTGCCGAAGCACCACAAACTGACTTTAGTTGTTCTTTTGTTTGGCAAAAATATTAATAAAATATTTTAACGTAGGTACTGGCATTAATATTAAAATTAAATAATACATATTAAAAATATAAAAACAACGTTTTAAAAATCAGGATTATCCGAGCCGCCAACTATCCGAGAATCCGAGCTAGTGAACAGCCGACATTAGATCGGATAATCGAGAGTCTACTGTAATTGATATTTAAATGAAAGATTTGGAACGCAAATTTAATCGGTGAAAATATTTTTCTGAAAACTGATATCTGATATGTGTATGAAAACGATTTACTAAATCAGAAATTTTAATTTAAAACAATTTTTTGTGCTAATTTTAATTTAAATCTTTATTGGAAGCCAAATAATAGCTTTGTCGAATTAAATAAATTTTATTTCAACAGAACAACTCATTATCGTCCTATACGTGGTGATCCGAATTGTTATTCGGGAATCTTCGGCAGCATATTCTGCAGATAAAAATAAGTAAAATAGTTCATATAAATATATGTCCTTAAATGCATCATTTCGGAGATACATTGTGTAGAAGTTTCATTTTTATATCGACTTTCCAAATTATTTCTGAACTAACGTCCATATTAGGATGAAAATTGGTGCCTGGGTGTTTTTTGATAAGAGAAATTTTAGTTCGATGTCAATATGATTTTTATTTGTAGAGGGCGCCATCATACATACTTGTTAACTGATTTAAAGTGTAATAACTTTTCGTCCGTACCTGTATAAAACTACTGAGTGAAAAAACACACACCTTCGTAGTTTTTTATGTAAAAAGTATGGTAAAAAATATAGCCTTGGTAAAAATAGCTACGAGCAACTGTTTTCAAAATATCTGGAATGGAAATAGTCAATACATGTCATTATTGACAATAAATAAAAATGTTGACTAGATAGTTATGACTGAAATGATAAATTTGGGAACTTATTTTTTAAACTATTTATGAATTTTTCTAGAAAAAAATACGATAAAACAGTTTCTCTTCTGTTGATATTTGACAAAAATATTTCAAATTTATTATTTCACACTAATAACTATTCAACATGTATAATTTTAGTCAATTTTGACATGTATTAACTATTTCGATTCGAAATATCATGAGAACAATTACTCCAACAGACCTTTTTTACGTAAAAAATTACAGAAATGTATATTTTTTCACTCGGTAGTGAAATACAGATATTATACGGACAAAGTTATTACTCTTCAAAACAGCTAGAAAATATGTAGGTGGCGCGCCCTACAAGTAGGAGTCACACTGATATTGAAATCCCCGAATTTCTCTTATAAAAAACACCCAGACACCCATAATAATTGTCATCCAAATATCGGCGTTAGTTCCGAAATTATTTGGAAAAAATCGAAATAAAAATGAAACACCCTGATCTCCGAACCGAAGCATTTTAGGAGAAATTTATACGAACTTTTTTACTTAATTTTATCTGTAGAATATACTGCCGAAGTTTCCCGAATACAATTCGGACCACCCTGGTAGTTTTTTCTTTCGTACATTCCTAAAAAATATTTGATTTGTCGCGTTTACTTAAATGAAATTATTTAATTTCTCAGTATATATACTATACGATCAAAAAAACAGCGTCAGGGATGGCTTGGAAATGAAGAAATCGCTGTCATTTTGTATGTAAAAATTTTGACGAATGTTATCAATCATAATTTCCAACTGCACGCCATTTTTTCCGATCATACGGTACACATTAGACTAACCTAAAATGTACTTACATTTGTACAGCAGATTTGTAGATATCCATAAGCCTGCCGTCTTTGCTCGCCCCCAATAATATCGATCTCTTCACAAACTTGACGAACTCGGCTTTCTCTTGAGCCTCGGGACATGGAGGATGATTGTGGGGTATGGTTACTTGCAAATCGTCGGAGGTGCCCCCTACTGGCATGCATGCCCTGGCCTTACACACCAGACGCTTATATTCAGAACATACTAAATACCTAAGATCCATTTCGAACAATTCAAAAAACTGTTTATATTGTTTTACATCGACAATTATCCCTTAATACAATTACACACTGTATCTCTTAAAAAAGTGCAAGTATTTTAAGTGACAGTTTATTACATAACAGCAACCCCGGCAAAAACAACTAGCATTCAACCGCGCAACCGCCGAAAGGCACGCTTGCGTTAATCAGTCGTACGCGGCCATCTTCCGGTAATGTTTCTCAAAGTTTCACATTCTTAATAATAAAAGATTTTGGTAAATCTAAATAAAGTTTGGCGATATTATAGCAAATATATAATCGTACATTCATAAATTCTCATTGAAAGAGTGGGCACATAGAAAATATTTAAGTATTCAACAACACATATTCTCAAAGATTGAAAATATATATACAATATGACGATAAGAGAAGCTGCAACCTGCAATAATTGTGAAGTTATATTCTCTCAGTTTAGTTGAAAATAACAGTAAAAAAATTATTGCTGTAAGTTTTTTCTTTTAAGACAACAGATAAGTGTAAAAGTGTAGAAGGGTGTTTGCAACATATAAGCTTTTTTAAACCTTAATATATATTAGAGTTTCAATTAACTCAGCTTTTTTAAATAAAAATTATGTTTCTTATGTCCTGATTTACCACTCTTAAAAATAATTGCACTTTTTACTAAGAGACACAGTTCTAAAAACTTTCTTGGATCAGTCTCCTAAATTTTTTACAGATATCTATACATATTTAATTAGTGTATAGTGTAGTTATATTATCTTAGTATCCAAAAGCTAAGATGTATTCAAATAAATAGAATCGCATTTAAATTGTAATTAGAAAATTTTGAGATATCTTCCTACAACTATTAATAACTATACTTTAAATTAATGTTTTGAATACATTATAAATGAAAATTTTACATATTAATACCTCGTAGTTTACAAAATCGCAAAACAATTTTGAATTAAATCATTAAATAGAACATTTAGAACTCATTAGAGGACAATTAAATTTGTGAAATAAATGTTCCAAGTGTTCAGTGCTAACAAAAGGTTAGGATATCACGAGTTTATCGTATTTGTTAAATATAATTAACAAAGAAAAACATTTGATTAACAAAGAAGAACATTTGAATTGAAAGAAAAGAAAAGAAAATAAAGTTAGAATGAAGAATGAACTACAATAGAAAATTGCACAAATTAGCAGAAACGCGCCAAAAAATGACTCAACAAAAAAAGACAACTCTGGACGCGCGTTTCGCTAACCATTAGCATCGTCAGCTGATGATTAAAATAGTTTTTATTGATAATTGAAATTCAGTTTTAATTACCTGCTGATAACGCTAATATGTTTAGCGAAATGAACATCAAGTTCTTATAAATAATTTTGGATTTGTGGAATTTTCGAGTTGCTAACAGCTTATTAATATACTTAATAACTTATAATAAAATTTACTTACAAACCTAAGTTTAACATTCAGTGCGTTCAATCATTTCACAAAAGAAAAATGGTATCTAATATCTCATTTCCAATTTTAAAATCACAATGTAATATTGATTTCATACTAACCCTCTATATTAAATACCATATGATGAAAAAAGAAACGTTTTAAGTTGGTTTGGAAATGACCGATAGCTATAAATTTATAAATTTTACATATAAAATAACAGCGATTTTCATTTCCAAGCCTGCTCTGACGCCGTTTTCTTTTTACGATCATATGATATTTTGTATCCCTTAACTGAATTTGAAATTGATATTTTTAGAATGATTCATAACCCCAAATTCTACACATAATAAAACATCCTAAATAAAGTATAAGGCTATTTTATCATGTTTCAGGCAAAAAACATTTCTATATTTACATAAATTATTATTTAAATTCTCACAATTCTTGTTATAATATAAGAAATGTTTAAATTTAATAGAATTTGAAGCCACAATAAAGCCGTCCCTTGTTTAAAATCCCTCCAAAAGACTTTAAAGATAATACCCCATATTTAAAATAAAATACAAATTAAAAAGACGGAGTTATACGTATTCTTTCTTACCTTACTTTCGAATTTGTATTAAAACAATTGTGATGATACGTGAATCCATCAACAACTATGCACCCAGAAAACCCCTTGTGATGCCCTGAAGACAAGTGACTTTAAAATTGTATTCAATTTCGCGATTCTACGACATTTCAACAAAAATTCTTAAGAAAATTAAAACAAACATAACCTGTGATATACCATTGTAAAGTGAATTTGAAAATATCAATACAGACTATATTTTAATAATATAAAAATTGAAGCTGAATATTGATAAGTTTTAATTAATACTTTGAAGTATTCTTTCGTTAGTCACTTTAGAAGCTACCCACTGTGCAGGATCTACTAAAAACAGGTGTTTTGTAAAAATAGAACCATAGCCATCTTACTCAAAACCTGTTACCAGCAGTCCTGAAACAATTCTAGATCGATTCTGACAGTTCACCGTGACGTCGTTTTTATAATGCATATTTTCAATACCAAAAAAAATCGTTAAAACGTTTCAAGTTTCATTCAAAACTTGTTTCGAAAAGTAAGAAACAAAGTCCTAATGCAAACGAAAGTTTTAACTAATTTTTTCAGATAAATTTTGTGTGATTAGGAAATTAGTTTTCCTATAATTAACACTAATTTACGCAGTCGTTAAGTTGTATTTTATATTTCAAAATCAATGTATATCCCTCTCAATCAGAAAAAGAATAAAAGAAAAATGAATTATTGCAAGAACAATACAAGACATTTGTTCCCAAAATAATTGATTTTAATAATCAGAACTATTTTATCTTTAATTATTTTTTACTTCTGACTAACAGCAGATACTTGTGACTTTTGAAAAGTTAAATAACCTTTTTGGTTGTCAAAAACCACTCAAAAATTCTCCTCTACATGACACTTGAACCTATAACTTTAACCCAATAACTCAATAGAAAAAACGATATTCCATACCAAACAAAAACCTCATAGTAAACGCAAACAAAACAATTTAATTTCAGTTTAACTACATCTAGTGCTCGATTCTTGGCAGTTAACTGTACCTAATCATGAACTATTCGAAAACCTTGATAAATGTTAAATACATAAAAATATATAAAATTTCAAAAAGAAAAGTACTTAAGAAATTATAAATACATATTTTTATATTATAGTATTAACATTTAAAAAGATTTTAAATAACACACGACAGGCTGTCACAAAAATATGAACGAAAAGACATAGTAAAACTCAAAATAGATTACCCATAACTTATGCTATTTTCATCCTATTTGATAACACTAAAATTCGATTTTAAGAATCCCCCAAAGAAAATAAAACATTTTGTGGCCACATCAAAATCTCTTAATTCATATATCTGAAATAACTTATGGCTTATGTACCAATACAATATAAATGATAAAATTAACTTATTAAGACAATTTCTACAATATTATCTAAGTATATTCCAAAAATATATTGACTGATAAGGTTGACAAATCATTATAGTCAAAGTAACTAAAAGTATATGACTTGACAACAAAGTATCAGACTTTTTTCAAAAAACACTTTTAAATACTGTAAAAATTGACTAAAAATAAGTAATATTTTAACATTTACGAATTGTTCATAATACAAGTAATACACCTAATCAAAATTAATTAATCCCTATTTCTTGAAAAATACCTGTAATAAAAATAGTTTCCTAGTCTAATTAAATTTTAACATAAAACTTGTTTACCTTTAACCGCCATTTTCCTTTACAAAACATAATTTAAAAAAGATTCTGTGATGCACTGTTATTAAAACATATCTTTAAAAAAAATAGTTCCATTTGATAACTGACAACAAAATGAGGCCAATAGTTTAAATGGATCTTTTTTCTTGTTTACTTTTCTTATGGTATAAAGTTACCTAAAGCTAGGTAACTTTAAAAAAGAAAAACAAATTGTGAAAACATGTTTTAAATCATCACAAAATTACTCTTAAACTGATTATCAATCCACCAGTTGTTTACTATTGAAATAATGAAAAGATTATTTCAAAAAAAACACAGCTATTAAAAAATCCCTAAAAATTTTCATTGAAATAATTAAAAAATTATTTCAAAAACCACTTAAGTGTTTTCTTTTAATTGAAATAACGAAAAAATTATTTCAACAACCACAAATTCGCATTCAACATTTAAAATAAATGCTGAATGAAATTTTCGAAAAAAACAAACAAACAAATTGTCAAAATAATGACAATTCGCAAATCAAAAACTTAAAAATTGTATACTTGTAAAATTTTACAAGTACACAGACAAATCACAAAATACATAAAATGTTCAGTTGTCGTACAATCGCAAAAAGGTTGAATTGTAACCTTATTTGACTCAAAACATCATTAAACATATTTAATTTAAAATTAATTATAAAAATTTAGTAACTATAGTTATTCTCAAGAAAGATTGTCACTTGTCAAATAAGGTTACAATGACTTCTGAAAAATGTAACTGTTAAAACAAAAGAAAAAGAAAGCAATCTACAAGAAACTACATAAATACAAATAAACAACTTTAAAAGCTCTAGCAAAATGGTAACATATTGCTGATGTAAATTATCAATAATTATTAAAATTATATCCATACAGCTAAAGTCCACCTTCCATATACAGCTGCACATCCTTTTAAATAAATAAAGTATTATTTAAAACAATGAGCAGGCTCAGGAAAAAGAAGACTTGAGAAGTTTGCTTAAAACTAATTACTGAAAAATAATTTAATAGTTTTCATGGCGCTGAAAAAACGAAAAAAACTTCATTAAACGAAAAAAATTGTATATTGTTATTAATCCGCAGAGAATATGTAATTAAAGAGCAAAAAAATAATTGTATCTCAAAATAATAAATAAATAAGAATGCCCTTAAGTAAACAAAAGTTCAATATACTACCAACATTGGGCCGATTTTTTAATACTTTTTCCCTGAACAAATAATATCGAACAAGTAAAAAACGAGCAAATAGAGAAGATGAAAAAATTATTACAGAACTCAACAAGAAATTATAAAAAGAAATTCCCCAAAAAAACACCATAAACTTACTGTATAAATAGATCTCATAGCATTTATTGTTCAACACTAATAATGTTTATGCTAACAATACTACAAAAGCTTGTGATTATTTCACAACTTACTTCAATAATGAAGTACTTATCTTTTTGATTACGTATCTTTTTGATTACTCATCACCAAATGGTATTTACTACAGAAAATAAAGAAGTCGATATTCAATTATAGTCAATATACAATTCTTTTTAAGCAAATCCAAAAAAGTGATATCTGCGATCTGTCCTAACTAAAGCAAATCACAACCAAAGTTAACAATTCTTAAAATTGAGAAAAATCTATCAATGCATAAAATTCATAATTTTATAGAATCAAAATCTTGAATTACACAAGCATAAAGTTCGTAACTCTTGCTTGACAAAATAATAATCAATAGTGTATGTTACTAAATAATCCAAAGTTTCTTTCAATGATGTGAGAACTTTTCTTTAGATTTAAAATCAACAGTCTGACGAATCAACTATCAATAGATAGTTTTATATCAGTAGCTCAGATCGCGCAAGCACAAGAGTCATCAACTCTAAATTGCCTAAGTTTAAAAAATAATTTTCTCTAATTCAGTTTTTTCCTAATTATCCAAATATATTCCAAAAAGAAAAAGTAAATGTATGAGTTCCTGCAAATAATTTATAATTTCTTTCATTGTCGTTCTTTCATTACCTTCCCCAACCCCACTAAAAAAGCTATAGTTAGATAAAATATAATCAAAAGATAAAATATAATCAAAATATCTTATAGCCAAACTATAATGAATCTCAAACCTCAATATAAAAAATAAAATAATTTCTAAAGACAAGTAACTTAGAAAATATTTACTTTTTGATATTGAAATTTTGACAGCCAACAATGTGTTTAAATCGCAAACAGCTGTGAAAATCACATGGCATATAACAAATGTTATTTCTATTCCTACTATGACATCATTAAAAAATAGTGAATAGAGCAACACTTCCATTTCTTCTATTATTAGATGATTTATGATAAAAAATTGGCAGCTCTATTATTTATTATTCTGAGATACAATAATACAAAGACAAAACACCTTTTAATGGTTTGAATATAATACGTATACCGAACAAGCTTTGAATTTTAAATAATGCAATCTACTTAACTTCCAGAAACATCAAAAATACTTATATTTAGTTTTGAAACGCTATACAAAATCCAACTGTATTCAACTTCGAACATTAAATAACGAATTAACTAAACTTTGACTTATATAATCTTATAATCTTGAGAAAGCTTCGAAAATACCCGTCTTAACAGCAACAAACCTACATTTACTTGGAATTTAAGTAAAGAAATATCATCAAATGTAACTTAGTTACTTCTCTAGAACAAAAAAATCGCAACGCAAAAATACACACATGTATACCGCTTCAGACAAGATGTTACCACACAGTTACAGATTCCAGAAGCCTGAGGAGGGGTGAAATAAAAAGAACACCTACCTTGTCCTTCGCCAGCGCCGTCCGTGCTCGTACCAGCCTGTGGTTCTTCGCCTTCCATCATAGAGTAGTCTTCCGTGTCGTCAACAGCCGTGTCATCAAGAGTGTCATCGCCAAAATTGTCGTCGCCAGTGTCGTCAGGTATCGTTACCGATTGGTTCTGATCGTAGGGTTCCATTTTGAACTGAACAGGTTGGGAGTCCGTAGAGGGTAGCGAGATTGGTTCCGTTTTGGTTACAGGGGCAGGTGCCGATTGAGAATCATTTGAGGACACGCTTAGTCTAGGCCTTTTGGAGGCGGTGGTAGTTACGATAGGTGCAGGGGCTTGTTTTTTTGGTCGGGGTACTGGTTTATAATCCTCCGAGTGACGGATCGAAGGTTTCTCTTGGACTGGCTCGGTTTCAACGTCAGCTGAGCCCTGAAGAGAAGAAAAAAAGGTTTGATTTGTAAACTACAACGTGCCTCACGATTTCATTCATCACATTAAAACAGTTTGTTATTGTATAATATTTTATATTCATGCACCTTTTTAAACCCAAATTTATCACGATCCGAACGTTTCTATCATGCTGTCATGAGTAATCAGGACGAGGTCTACCTTGCTGACGCGGAATCAAAACCGCGGTCGCTAGCGTCTGATTTGGTTTGGTTAGGTTAGCCTACCAACTTAGAAAGTATCTAACTCTACTCTTATAAAATATCAGTTATCATCCAGCGTCTAACTTGGGTGAACATGTGTGAACCAGGGTAAACGAGAAATGTATGTCTGATTTTACACTGATGACATGAGACACGACGAAAATTTTCAGACGTCCATTAAACATAAAACATCGCTTAAAGCTAGTCACGCCCTTGTGCGAAATGTGGCGCGGCAAAGCAAATCGAAAAAACGTGCATTGGATTAACTGTATTGTATTATTACATACAATTAATTATTCCAGTGCACGGTTTTTCTCCGTGCTACGCAGCGCCGCACTTCACACAAATGCGTTACAAGTTTTGCTCTTGTGATATTTCTAAAGTTGCATTCTCACGACTCGTGTACTTGGCAAGTATTTTTAATTAGCATATAGGGTCTGGCGAGAATGCGGCGTAGTTCCTATAATAAACAACTGTGCTCTCCTGACCAATGTGCAGGAAATCTGGCTGCAGGTAGACTACTGCGGTTCACTACTGCGCATCACCTCTCTACAGGGTAGGTATTCCATTCTCGTGTTTTAAGGGATTTCTCGTTTATGAGTAGAGATACAATGTGATTTTCACATTGCTTTGCTACTTTTTTATGAAACTAAATATGCTACAGATATATTTGTCCTAGTTCCTGAAATACAGGGCGAATTTGAGAAGCGCAGTAGTGAACAGATGTTGGAATACAGATATGTGCAGTAGTGAACACAACGTCTACCGGCATCCAGACGGTCCGCACTCTGTTCAGGACAGCATAACAAAAGATATATTAAAGAACCAGCTTTCTTAAAATTCTCTCGTAAAACAGCGAAATCGTTATGGAAATGAAAATATAAAATGACGCGATCACAAAAAAATCGTATATCCGGTTAACGGAGGCATGAAAATGCAATAAATTTAAAAACTGCGTAATTTTCTAACCAATCAAAGTCTTTCAATAAAATTCAACCAATAAAATTAATATCGGTAATTATTGGGAAAACTGGAAATCGTCCGATTTTCACCAAAATTGGTATACACCCTATTTTGAGGTCATAGATTACGAATCTGAACTTTTTTCTTGGCGGTCTCTTACCGTTTTTCAGAAAAACGGAAAATTATTTCAAAATCGAATTTTTCTTAATTTCTCATATTTTTAAGGGTTTCTAGCACATATTTTGTAAAGTATTCAATAAACAATGATGTTATTTCTATTTTCTGTTACTTTTTTAACCAATTCTATGCATAATAGAGGAAAATTTGCTAAAATAAATTTGTAAACAATCTGAAAATGTTGGGTTGTGTTTCTGGCATTTAAAGCAACGTTGCCAATGCTAAACCTAAATTTAGCGTGTTTTTTTCGCTCATTCTGGGATTACGAAAGGCGGTCGCCAGAAGAACGGCTCCTTCCCATAATTGGTATTTTACCAACGAGATCTGACTATTTATAACCACGAAGTTGCACGAAAGAGTTTTGATTGCATTGGTTACAACTTCCATGCGGAGGGTGTTAATCTTTTGTTGTTATATTATAACAAAAAAAGATTAACCCCCTCCGCAAAGAAGTTAAAACAATGCAATCAAAACTTTCGTGCAACTTCGTGGTTATAGTCTTTATATAACTTCTTTGCGGAGAGGGTTAATCTTTTTTTGATATAACAACAAAAGATTAACACTCTCCCTCCACATGGAAGTTGTTAGCAATGCAATCAAAACTCTTTCGTGCAACTTCGTGGTTATAAATATAACAAAAAAAAAGATTAACCCCCTCCGCATAGAAGTTGCAATCAAAACTCTTCCCTGTAACTTTGTGGATATAGATAGGTATATTTAATTATTATCGATCTCATAATAGGTAATTTATTTAAAATCCCTAATCACCCGAAAAAATAGAAGATATGGCAACGTTGTAAATTTTGGCTCCTTCCCATAATTGCTATTTTACCAACGAGATCTGACTATTTATAACCACGAAGTTGCACGAAAGAGTTTTGATATTGGTTAGAACTTCCATGCGGAGGGTGTTAATCTTTTGTTGTATTATATCAAAAAAGGATTAACCCCCTCCGCAAAGAAGTTAAAACCAATGCAATCAAAATTCTTTCGTGTAACTTGGTGGTTATAAATGTAATATAACAAAAAAAAGATTAAACCCCTCCACATAGAAGTTGAAACCAATGCAATCAAAACTCTTCCGCGTAACTTTGTGGATATAGGTAGGTATATTTAATTAATGTCGATCTCATAATAGGTAACTTATTTAAAATCCCTAATCACCCGAAAAAATAGAAGATAAGGCAACGTAGTAAATTTTCAAATTTCTAGATTAGTTCTAGAATATATTTGTCTCTCTCATTACATAGGAGAGAGAAAGAAGGATATATCAAATGTCAAACTTCCATCTGGTCTCAATTTTCTTTGTTATTTTTTTGTTAAGAAAAGTGTTTTTCAGTAAAATGTTGGACATTTTTCTATCCCCAATCAAGTGTAGCTTTTAGATAAACTATAATATAATGAAAATATAGTGAAATTGGTGCTTGTCAGATATAACACCCTCCGAATTTTGTACTTTTTTTTATATCACTCGAAAGCATACATCGAAATAAGTATTTCAAGCCAAAAAAAATGTGGATGATCCATAATTTAATGAAAAAATAAACATCTAATTATTGCTACAACAAGCTACTTTCTATGCGAAAACTCCTCCAAATTTTGTCGGCGTTGCCAGATTCATTCATTTCTTCTTGAAAGGTTCATTAAAAAACACGTGCTGGTCGGAAGAAAACTCGCGTTAAGAACAGATTATAAATTATTTTAAAATCAAGAAAAGGCGATCGCCTGAGGAACTGCTCCTACCCATAGCTGATATTTTGCCTACGAGATCTGACTATTTATAACTACAAAGTTGCACGAAAGAGTTTTGATTGCGTTGGTTTCAACTTCTTTGGGGGTTAATTTGTTGTTTTTTTTTTATATTTTAATACGAATCTGAGTGCTTTCAATGTCTTGATTTTAAAATAACTTATAATCTGTTCTTATCGTGACAGCGCTACTGTTAAGGATTTGTTCGTCCGGCGACCGGCACGTAAAATCAAGTGAAAGCAATCAGATTCGTATTAAAATAAAAAAAAAATATAAAAAAAGACTAACACCCTCACGAAAAGGTTGAAACCAGCGCAATCAAAACTCTTTCGGTTTCAACTCTTTTTGTGTATCATGTAACGTACCGTATGATCGAAAAAAAAACGGCGTCAGCTATGGCTATGAAATGAACATCGCTGTCATTTTATATGTAAAATTATATGAGGAATGTCATCGATCGTCATTTCCAAGTAGGGTTCCCAACTTGAGCATGGGCGATTCCAGGACAATTATTTTTAAGTTTTTAAATAATTGAAACAAAACATTACATATTAGAAATTCAAATATATTATATGTAAATGTGATTTTTTTGGTCCCGGCCAAGGCAAAATTTTCGCCGGGACAAACTTTCTGATTCCTGGTTAATCCCGGTCAAACCGGGACGGTTGGGAACCCTATTTCCAAGCCAACTGGATGCCGTTTTTTTTCGATCATACGGTATTATGTATCATACAAACAAGAAATAACTTTGGCAACAATGATTACGCAGCTTACATCCTTAACAACAAATGGTGACAGACGGCTCCGGCGGCAAGTTTGAATCGAAAGAGTAAATCGATCAGGCAAATATTACAAAAGAGATCACCAACTCTATTTTTGATTTATGACTTAATAATGCTGCTCAATGATTAATTCTGACCTTTATATTAATAAAAAATGCATATAATCGTCATATTTTACAATAATTACACGCTTATACAACTTCACCATAATCTAAAAATGCACTTTTAATTTATTTATTTTTCAATAAATTGTGGTTCATCCGCAATTTTTTTTTGCTTAAAATTCTTATTTAAATGTATGCTTTCGACTGATATATAAATAAATGCCAAATTCGGAGGGTGTTATATCTGACAAGCACCCTGTAAATGAATAAAAGCGCCAATTTTCTCTAAAAAATCGAAAATTAAAGGTAGTCCGACCCTGTGCCGGTCAACAAATCTCATTGACATTGACCAAAAATAACACAAGAAATTTAATAACAATTCAAAGAGTAATTATTCTAACACGCCATTATTGTATAATAAACTTGTTAATTTATGTATCAGATATCACTGAAGACTAAATAAATAACATACTTTTATCTCTAGATGCTATGCAAAATCACAGAGTACGACCCTGAACCCAAGCGACGCCGCAAATACCGACCTCCCCTCAACTCAAAATGGACTCGGTCCAATTTATTATTATGCGCAAAAATAATTATTGCAGTGCAATACATATATTTAGAAATAGTTATTACGAAAAAAAACATAAAAATACTTACGTTCCCGTCTCCCGTGAGTCCTTTGATTTGTAAGGCCTCTGCAGTCTTAATAAAAGTAGTTAAATTGTCCTGACTAACTTGCACTTCACCTTGGTACATAAATTGGAGTAAATCACTAATCGCTACGTAACTAACGTCTTTAAGAAAAACTATTGGATGCTGACACGGATTAACTTTAAACAGTTCTTTGAAGTAGGGACTGCACACCGAGAGCACCATTTTGTGCGCTTTCAGGTATTTCCCTTCGACCGCCAACGTAACGTCCACTAAATCCTCGTTTTCCAGCAGCGAGTTCATGCCCGAACTCATATTTTTGTGGAAATTGTCCCAACACAAAGAAAATTGTTCCGACGCCATGGTCGGTGCTGCAAAAAACAAACGCTATTAGTACGCCATCATGGCGGATGCATGGGTCGAGTCCCGGTACCTTTCTACCAGGCTAAAATACTTGAAAATACAAAACTTACCTTGTTTAAAACGCTCCCCTGAGTTGAAAATGTTTTTACCGCACTATTGACAAATAATTGGTAAACGTATTCTAAAGAAAACCGCTATAGCCAATTATTCAACACTGTGAAACCACCATGACGCTTTATCGGCGAAGCGAGAATTGGAAAATGAAGCTGGCGTCGGCGATGACGAAGCTAGGACGCGCAGGAAACGGAAGTTCCAAGTTAGGGATTTTCGTTTTCAGTTTTGGATTATTTCAAGACGGTTGCCGGTTGTTAGTCGTCCGCTAAAACGGAAGAATAAAATATATTAATCGTCCCGTTTTAGCATTAGAAAGAGCATTAGAGAATTTTATCAGAATATGAGATCCAAAGCTAATGAAATAATTTATTATTCATTCAGTAATTTACAAAAATAATAATTTGTAAAGTAGAGACAGTTTAGAAACTTTTATATCTCTGTACATTTTTTCTACATGAGCAGTTAACACAAAAAAATAATTTTTAATATTATTAATAGCTTTAACACGATACATTAAATCACAATATTTTCGATTTTTTTCACACACGGTTCGCACAAGAAAACTAATTGGTGTTTTGATAAGAGTAATCAAATCAGGTTCTTAGATATAATAATTTATTATATTACTAGTTGAAGCCTGGCGCATCCGCCACATCAGAAAAAAAAAATACTTTTTATTTTTTTTTAATTAAATGAAACATTTTTAATGCAACAAAATTTGGTCATAGATTCTTAAAAAAAGGTGACCCGTATTTTTTATTTTTGGCGAGTGGCTCCCTTTTCGGATTTACAGCCCCCTGAATTTCGCCCATAAAAAGAGTTTTTTTTAATATCTCAGGGCCCTGTTGGACGAAAATCACTAAATTTGGTACACGTTGTTTTACCATAAAATAACAATTTTTGATGCTATTAACTTTTTTTATTTTCATCAATGGCGTCCCTACGGTATTTAAACTAAATATTATTGAAGAAAAAAATGGTACGCCACTGTTTTTTTAAATAAAAATTATTTTTTAAATCTACACTAAATTTGGAACAAATTTGATCTCTTGACTTTTTTTTGGTAGGACGCACCGTTTTCGCGTAAAAAATAAAAACCATTTTCATACATGACTAAATCGCTAAAATTTTACCGTAAATTTCAATGGCAAAATTTTTAAAACGGCAAACTTAAATTTAAAATAATTTTTTATTTTCCAAAATCTTGTTTTTATTACCTAAGTGCGAACCAAAATGTCCAAAAACCTAAATCGCCGTTTTTTAAATTTTGCTATGAAAATTTACATTAAAATTTTAGCGATTTGGTCATGTAGGAAAATGGTTTTTATTTTTTTACGCGAAAACGGTGCGTCGTACCAAAAAAAGTCAAGAGATCAAATTTGTTCCAAATTTAATGCAGATTTTAAAAATAATTAAAAAAAAAACAGTGGCGTACCATTTTTTTCTTCGCTAATATTTAGTTTAAATACCGTAGGGACGCCACTAATAAAAATAAAAAAAAAGTTAATAACATCAAAAATAATTTATAGTAAGTAAATTTTGTGGTAAAACAAAGTGTACCAAATTTAGTGATTTTCGTCCAACAGGGCCCTGAGATATTAAAAAAAAACTCTTTTTAGGAGAGAAATTCAGGGGACTGTAATGCTCACTTGCACCGTTTGTATAAACTTTGTTTAAAGGCTAAACATTGATTAACTATAATAAAATATTATATAGGTAATCACTGTTTAGCCTTTAAACAAAGTTTATACAAACGGTGCAAGTGGGCATAAATCCGAAAAGTGGGGTCACTCGCCAAAAATAAAAAATACGGGTCACATATTTTTTTTTCAAGAATCTATCCAAACCAAACCAAACCAATATTTTGTTGCATTAATTTCCGGACACCCTGTACATATATGTATATTAGAGATGTCATATACAGATTGATTAATGATTGATTAAATAGCTTTTTTGCAGTAGTTTACAATTTTTGTATCCTTTTTTCTAGCGATTAATGACCATTTTATAATTTTTTTTATTTTCTTTTTTGCATCTTTACGGCGCACAGTAGGCAATATGTCCAAACCAAGTTGCAAAAAATAACATCCACAGTTAGCATTTATGGCAATAACAGTAGATTGGAAACATATTAGTTAAGAGGAAACCACATAAAACTAACAAAAAAACATATTCGGAGTCTCTTTCGAGGGGCTGTAAAACGAACTTTGCGCTAAACCTACATTTTCAGTAAATTTGTGTCCAATAACTGCCTTTTTTCTACAATTTTTTAAATAGTAGACGTTGCATTCAAGTGACACAGTATTATATAAATTGAATCGGACGACTTTAGCTTGCTGTCAATAATTACTGGGAAATTGTCATAACGTGTTTTACGTAGATTCCCGGTTGCGGTAAATTTAATGTATGGAGGCTAGAAGGAGGAGGCGAATCGAACGCAAAAATTATGGGCCCAGTTTTTGAGATCTAAATGAAGTTCGAAAATCGCCGTTAGGGGCGCATGTGATCCGACAGATTGAGAAATACACAGCTTCTTATGGCAAGAATTACTATTTTGTTACAAATTATAGAGTTCAGTTAATATTTGGGCATATTTTTACCAGATTTACTTTTTAGAAACGTGTTTTTTACAACTGAACAATATGCGTGGCTAAAATTATGAATACAAAACCTTAAATTTGAGTTTGAAAAGTAAGTTAGAAGTTAGGTTATATCAGATGCCGGTTTTAGATATTCTTTTTCTGAGTTGTTATTATAAAATTGTTTCATTATATGGTTCTTTTTAGTGCATACACGACCGAAGAAAAATATAAGCTGCTAAAATAAATCTTCCCTATAACTGTTGTACAAAAAAGATAGAATTTCCAGCAACAAATATCACCAGTTCAACCTTTGATTTGATGTAAACAGTAATTGTTTCTTGATGACAAATGCGAATTAAATAGTTTATGGTGTGATTGTGTTAGTGATTTATTAATAGTTTTTCATAAAAACATTTGAAATTGATATGTTTACAAGCAGTTCAGTGTGATATCATTTTAATAAACATTAAAAACTTTCGTAACAAACTAGTAGTGGTTTTACCGCAATTGACAGAAACTGAATCACGAAAATTAAAAGTATTTTATCAGGAATAACTTCAATGGAAAGTGAAGATGAACACTACTGTTGCACCCTTTGATCAGTGTTATCTATCTCATAGCTTTTTATAGCTGAAACCAGAAAATAGGTACATTAAGCTGAAATGTTTCCCGTGTCCAATAGTGTTTTTTCTTTAGATTTTCTGAATTTAAGTTTTAATGTCATTAGCAAAATTTTGCAAATTGTCACTGTTTCGTAGACAATTAAATTCAAGATGTATTATATTCAATGTCACCTAATAATTGTAAAGGTAAATTTTTGTAAATAAAATATTAATGAATAAATAATGAACTCAATTTATTTTAAAAGAGTTGTAAATATGTATATACACTGACTTATTTCATCATATATTTATTTATTTAGCAATATTAATACATTACAACTTTTGTTTTTAACTGACTAATTCCACTAAATTTAATAAATAAAATATACAGTATATAAATTTAATATACAATTTAGCACCTATACCAAAAAAATATAACAGGAACAAGTTATATCAAGAACATAAAGAATTATAATTTAAAAAAATGCATTCTAAATAAATACCTGGCTACAATATACCTACATATTAATTTAAAGAGCTTATTCATAAAAAACTATTCTAAATGGTTTATATACACAATCAAAAGTCCTTCAACCACTGTACATTATTTTTCAATTTAAATGAAGCATCTCGGGTAAGTAAATTATTTTATATTAGAATACTATATTGCTTTGGCGTAAATTAACTTTCAATAGCACTGTTCAAATGGTGGTTAATACATATCAACAGGTAATTTTAGCCACCAGCTAGTAGGTAAATTATTTTTATTTTATAACAAAGCCTCCTAGGTTATGTTACCAGATGTAACGCAGATGTTGATTTTAGGCTATATTCTCTATTAATTTGAATTTAAAATTAATCTGTACACTGGCAGTATATAATTTGAATGTTTTTCTTAACATCTATCCATATTTTTTAAAATAAATAGTTATACCACTTACATTAGGACCTTTGAAAAGGCTTGGGTTTCTTTCACCCCGTTCTTTATTTGCCTTTTTTCCACTGTAAGTCCCACTTATACAGCCAGGTACGAAGCAAGATCTATTATATAGGGTTTTTTTTAATCACACTCATTGTTACATTGCTAATAGTTCAATAAAATAACTATAAATTTAAAAAAACTAGTAAAAACACAGTTAAATCGTATTCTAACAATGCAAATGATCAATCTAACCCGCTTAGAGTGCCTCTGGTGTCAAACCGAGAAACTTGCTTTAAAGTAGGGACAGAAATTTCAAATATGCCCATTGTCGATTCGCCTCCTCCTTCTAGCCTCCATAATTTAATGTCAACGTAAGTAAAAAAGTATCTTTTATTTTGATTTTTTGGATAAAAACTAGGTAAAGGTCAAAGTAGAACATAATCATTTAAGGTTTTTTTGATAGTGGCATATATTCTGTCTTAGAAAAGTTGAGTCAAAAAAATCGCAAAAAATCGCAACATTAAATTTATTGGAAGCGTAAGCCTCCATGCGTATGTGTATAGTAAGATCCTTTATGTGGATACTTCTCATAAATTAATTGTTATAGTAGCTAGAGAAGAACTTGAAATATAAAGTTACGTATTTTTTCTCAAGATTTCCGAAGAGGTATGTCAGAAATGTCAAATGACATTTTTTGACAAATTGACAAATTTTGACAGTACCAAATTTTTTAAATTAAATGAAATGGATTTTTCTTTCAGATTTAAAAATGTGCACTTCGTGACCATTGCATCCAGCTGTTATAAAACAAAATATCAGTATATAGTAAATGGTAAAATAAAATTTAGATATTTGTAATAGGTATATGTAAGTTCTGTTATTTTCAAAATCGACATTGTTTAATTCTCAGAATATGGTTACTTATTTAAAATATAATAATAAAATATTGTCCACATATTGTCTGGTATTATTAGAGACCCAACTTATTGAAATGACAAACAATCTTGAATAGATTGGATTAGTATACTCAGGGTTTTCTTTTATACATTGACACCCCCTTTATCTTTTTTATTTGACGTTTCCGAAAACTGTCTCAAATGAAAGTGGTTTTGAATAAATTTGCCAAAAAAGTCTATTTTGCATATACAAAGTGCTTCAAAATGTCTGGGCATGGTTCAACTTTCTTATTTCAAATTAGGTATAGAAGAATATATAAACAAGGGTATAGGCTATGCTACATAAAAGTAGTTAGGATTTTTAGGAGAAAATAAAAATCAAATAAGAAATTGGGTACTAATTTGAAATAAGAAAGTTGGGCCACGCACAGGATTTCTAAGGCACCCTGTATATGCAAAGAAGACTGTTTTGAAAAATGTATTCGAGACCATTAAACTTTTATTCAAGACACTTTTTTCGAAAACGTCGAATAAAAAAGATACAGAGGATGTCAATATATAAAACAAACCCTGTATATGCCGGAGGAGTAATAATTGCTCAATATTTGTCTGTTTCATCTTGGTTCTGCCAAAAATCGTAAAATTTAGTGAAATATAAAATATTCTTACCGCCTTTTGGTAGCTGTATTAGTCAATAGATGATTTATGAATCCCCCCACCACCCCCAACCACTTTCAAGTCAGCCAAAACTAACTGGGTTCACGGGCTACTAGCATAGAATGTTTTTACCAAATTTGAATGAAATCGTACAAAAAAAGAATTTTTGCAACATACTTCTGGATTTTTGCCCACTGTGCGGCGCGGCGCGGCGTATAAGAAAGATTTTGAAGATGTCCTGAAGGCAACATCAAGTGCAATTATTGATTATGTAAAGAGACTAGATGTTTGTTTGTGACAAGTTTGTGTTTTACAATTTTTAAATTTTCCGTTTTTAAATTTCTATTTGACATATACAATTGCTGTTCTTATTTTTATTTCATATTTACAGCTATCATAATAACGTGTAATTTTATGTGTACTAAAGCCATACGCTAAATAAATAAATATTATAATTTTCTTCCAAGTGCTTTTAGAGATTTGAATGAAATTTTGAGGTCTTTGAAGGTGAAAGTTACTATAAGGCAGTAAAATATGTCGCATTTTACTGCCAAAGAAGTGACGACATTTAGACGTGCATATATGGGTTATCATTGGAATATTTTTCAAAAAAATTGTGCTATCGACTTTTTTTTCTTGTTAGCACGAAGGTATAGACCGTTTAATGCCGATTAAAAGTTATCTCTTGATATTTTGTCGATTTCAGTCTCCTTGATTTTTGACGCAATTTTATTAATTTACCTTAATCCAAGCCAGTATAGAAACCTTAAAAAAAATTAATGTCATTAACTGGCCAAAGTTTTAAATAAGTACTCACTGCATGAGATTTCTCATCAAAAAATATGAAAAAAGTTCCTATAAACATGGGTGCGGAAATGCATAGTTTTAAAGTTATTACAAGTTGTTATAACTTAAAAAATGGGTCATTATTTTTTTTATTCGCTATATGTAGCAGAGAACAACTGTGTTATAAATTTTGATAAAATTTGATAACAAATTATATTTTTATGGTACCTTTTCATGATTTGTTTATTGCCCCCCCTGTATTTTAAGCCAAAAAACAAATCATGAGAAGGGTATTATTTATTGTGATTAATTTTTGAATAAAAAGATTATTTTATTTATTTTATTTATTGCGATTAATAAAATTATGTTTATTTCATCAAGAATATCGAACTCCACAAAATATTAAGATACAACTTTTAATCGGCATCATAGGGTCTACACAATTTTGCTAATAAAAGGTCAGCTGCCCACATATTTTTTAGAAATATATTTCAGTGGTATCTCATATGCATGTCCCTGGTAAATTTGTCGACACTTTTTTAGAATTAAAATATATAGCACTTATAATAACTTTTCCCCTCAAAATCTCATTTGAATCTCTAAAAGTACTTGGAAGAAAATTATAATAAATCTAAAAAAATTAACATTTTAACACCCTGTAGCTACAAAACAAAGCAGTTTATTACGTGATGGCACATATTTTTAAAACACCCTGTATATAACATACCCAAATAAGAATTCTATTGTTGATTGAAGGAATCTTCAATCAACAATATTATTATCAATTTTACAAACATTTATAAGCATTTACAAACTTTCGGAATAAATGTTTCATTGTATTTACGTGGCAATAACTAGTGGTTTGGTTTTACACCAAGGTTTTACCCTTGTTTCATTATACATCTAGAAATATTTTTGTTTTTCTAATTTTTGTAGTGTTTTATATGACCGGACACGAATATTTTATTCTATTTACCCGTTTAGCGGACGACTAGACACTGCATTATTTTAAAAAGGTGATATTTAGATAATATTAACAATTCCTAAATTACCCCTTACTTTATTCTGGAAACAAAGTATACAGTTTATAATAATTCAGAAACAGCAAATTATTTTTTAAACAGAAATAATATTAAAATAATTAAGAACTAATTTTTGATAGTTTGATTTAAAATCACTGCTACCAACGTAAATATCAGCAAATCTCAAAGAGATTGCACCCAAATTTGAATCAATTTTTTGGCGCCTGCGTCTAATGACATAAACAAGCAAAATGGCTTCGCCATGGCAAGTTATTTTCCCGCTAAATAAACCCAGTGCGTGTGAAATGCCTATTTGGCAAATTTTCAGTTATGGACAACGATAATCGGCTAGATCGATTTTTAAAACTGGGCAAAGCCGGAGAAGGCACCTACGGAGTGGTTTATAAAGCAAAAAATAAACTAACTGGCAAGAACGTCGCTCTCAAAAAAATTAAGCTGCAAAAGTAAGTGAAAAATACTTCAGATTTGTAATTTTCTGACTTAACTTGAGAATCAATATAAGGCATTTTGTTTTTTAATGTTTGGCTTATAGTAACTGGTTATATAAACATAAAAATATATTCTGTAATTGTAATTTTAATGCTGAATATATTATAATTATTCTACCTGGCTTTATTAATTATTCTACAAGCTATTCTCTTTTCTTTGTAACAAACATCCTTCTAATATCATTCACCGTCGTCACTTAACACACTAACCACTGTAATAAAAGTAGCTGGATCTTGTAGGTGCAACGTTGTATTCGAATCGTAGCACCACATGATTCAGCTTACTTTATTGCATATTATCATCTGCTTATTTGGGTATGAGACAGATCGTAAGTACATTGATAATATTATAAATTACATCCATTATAAATATTACATCCAATTATATATTAATGCTTGATGTCACTTCTTAGGTTCTACAACAAAGGATGTTCAGAAGGTGTTCCATCGACAGCTATGAGGGAAATAACCCTTTTAAAAGGCGTACGCCATTCCTCCATAGTAGAACTTCTTGATGTAATGTACACAACTGACAAACTTTACCTGGTTTTTGAATACTTGGAACTGGATCTTAAGAGATACATGGATAACACTAAATATCCTCTAGATGAAGAATTAATCAAGGTAAGAAATATATATTGTAGACAGGGTAACCTAATATGTTCTAAAAAAGTGTTAATATCAGACTTTCCTATTTGAGATTTTCACTCACACTTTTTTTTGTAAATTATGAAAGCAAGATACTAGATGTAGAAAAGATCTAACAAACCATTTTTATATCCTAAGAGGATATCCCAAGTTGGACAGTAAGTACTTAATTATGTATGTCATAAAATACAGGGTGTTCCGTTTAAAATAATGGAGAGAAGTAAAACATCTAGTTTTGTCTGATCCTGGTCTTGATCCTCTCTTGGTCTTGGTCTTGCTGTAAGACTCTTGAAAGTCTTGTATTTTTTTAATAGATTTTCACTAGAGGCACCTTCTACGTAGAAATGTGTTAGATAGTATTTTAAGTAATATAATGCAAAAGTAACTTTAAAAAAGTTGGGAAGACAGTATTTTCAAAAAATTAAAGTAAAGTTTTGAACATACAAGTAACTTTTTATAACACATTTATTTATACCTACATGTGTTAAGTAAAAACATGAGCACCTTAAAAAGCTTTTATATGAATATGGCTTATTGTTGACGGCTACCTACAGTTACCAAAAATCACATGGGAATAGTTTTGGAGAAACCATATTTTACTATTTTTTAATAAATTATAAGGGATAGGTAAGTAAATAAAAATTTTGTTTTTTTTTATTTTAATTATTAACTATGAAAAATTATAAGTATGTAATTAAAGAATCGTGAAAAAAAAATTGCAAAACTAGAATAGTCTTGCACACTGGGTCTAGGGTCTAGGTATTGTAGAAGTCTTGCACTCATTGGTATTGGTCTTACAGGTCTAACACTAGTCATACAACTGGTTGTGGTCTTACACAAAGAGTAAGACCAAGTCTCACTCATCACTATTTGGTATAGGTACTTAGTTTTGAAAACGACACTATTATTAAATTGTACTTATTACATATACAGGGTGGTCCATTAGTGCGAGGAAGTCCAATACATCAAGGATATGAAAAACAGTTTTATACAGATGTTGTTTGGTTTATATGGTGCATATCCTAAAAATATTTTATTGTATACAGGGCATCCCAAAAAAGAAATATGATAAAGTTTTTTTTAAATTGCACAACCCCCTATATGCAAAATGTTATGCTGAATTCCAAATCTGTATAGAAAAATGACAGGTGCAATTTAAAAAAAAATAAAAACTGATGATTGAAAGATGAACTTTCTTTTTTGGACACCCTATATGCAACAAAATATTTTTAGGACATGCCCCTTCATAAACCATGTAATATCTGTATTACACTTGTTTTCATATATTTAAGGCAAGGGCGACGATATTGGACTTCCTCGCACTAATGGGTCACCCAGTATATTGTTGAAATATGCTAAGTAAAAAAAAATATAAATCGTATTTATGAATCATGCTTCATGCTGTATATATGTAAGATATTTGCAAAAATTCCTGTATACCATCCTGGACAGTTCATCTGCATGGTCTGTATTTTAATGCATGTGACAGAAATAAATACATAAATGACCTGTTAACAGACAGAGACAGAATAAAAACCGGCATACAGTGTTGCCGGTTTTTATGTTTTTTTTTGTAGAAAGAAATAAACTATTTTAAAAACTTTTTTTCCCGGGTGTCTCTCGAAAGTGAACTCACCCCTATAACATTTTTAATTTTTCCGATAAAAAATGAGATTGACAGGATTGATTGACGTATTTTTTTTATTTTGAATTGTTTTTGACCGCGCCCTGTTTCACCGGAAATGACTAGGATTTTTAAATGGCGCCCTCCCTATTTTTCTACTTTATTCGATAGAAAATGACATTCTGAAGAGAATGATACATCACATGTCAACTTTTGACAGTTACGCATATGGTTTATTTGAAATGGCCACATGCGGTTCATAACTACAATTTGACCCGAAATACCAAGTGTGTGGTACCAAATTATTCGTAAAAAAATGCTTTTTCCTTTAAAACCAAGTCAACATTTTCCAATCATAAATTTAAGTCTAGAATGCCATGGCTGTGTTAAAAACACTAATTTTTATAGAAGGAGGCTTGGAAAAATAGATTTGATTGTCTAATATTTTTCGTGTCTTGTCCTGGTCGGTTAAAAAATGCCCAAATCGTGATTTTAATCATATCTCAATTTTTTCAAATGGAACAAGGATGGCTCGTTAGCATATATTTGGTACCACACAATGGGTATTTCGAATCAAATTGTCGTTATGAACCGCATGTTACAATTTTAAATAAACCATATGCGTAACTGTCAAAAGTTGACATATGATATGGCATTCTATTCAGGGTCATTTTCTATCGAATGAAGTAGAAATATATTGAGAGTGTCATTTAAAAATCAAACGTTGTAGTCATTTCTGGTGAAACATGAAGTGACCAAAAACAGTTGAATACGTCAATCAATCCTAATTTATGTCAACGTAGGTACCAAATCTCGTTTTTTTTTATCTGAAAAAATAAAGAAGTTATAGGGGTTAGCCACTTTTGAGACGCACCCGGTATACTACTAAAATGAAGATACTATATTACCTATCTAAGCTAAATACCGATTGATCGAAAAAAAAAACGGCGTCCAGTTGGCTGGAAATGACGATCGATGACATTTCCCATATAAATGTACATATAAAATGACAGGGATCTTCATTTCATAGCTATCGCTGACGCCGTTTTTTTTTCGATCATACGGTATAATCTATTACAGCTGTAGTAAAATGAGTAACTAATTGTGAAAGATAAAGTTCCAACTCTAGATGCAACATTTCTCTTAAACGCCGACTTGTGCTGTTTGAAGTTTTGATGCAAAATCCGGCAATATCGCATAGAAGAAATGTATTAGCCCAACTTTTATCTCTTTTTAATACATTTGATTTGTCATTAAGCTCTATACATCACTGTCTTACGCGTTAAAATCCAGACCACGCAGTTTCGATGATCAGATCGGTATTTTAAAAAAATATTAGAGAGAATAGCTCAAATAGAAAATCAGATTTGCAGCTTTTTGGAACATTGTTTCACCCTGTATTTGTTTATCTATCTGTATTATTGTGAAAATTTATTATTTAGAACTATATGAAGCAATTATTAGATGCGATGGCTTACCTACATTGCCACAGAATACTACATCGAGACTTGAAGCCACAAAATCTTTTAGTAGATAAGGAAGGGCACATTAAATTGGCCGATTTTGGATTATCCAGGTCATTTTCTTTACCAACTAAAACATATACCCACGAGGTAGTTACCATGTGGTATAGGGCTCCAGAGTTACTTTTAGGAGAGAAAATGTATTGTACGGGTGTTGATGTTTGGAGTTTGGGCTGCGTTATGGCTGAGATGGTAAGGACATTTCATTTTTTAAGAACATTTTTGTATAGAATGTTATGTCTAGTCGTCTGCTAAATCATTCAATAAAACAAACAGCTTGCAATAGAGAAAATCTAATATAGAAATTTTAAAACATTTTCCGATGCACGTCATAAACTTTGAGTGACAAGCGATGGCGACAGCGCTGCCAGATTGTGATGGATTTATGAGATGAATTATTATTACTTAAATTTAAAAGTGACAAACAATATATTTAGTATATAATTTTTATATATTTTTTAAGGCAGCAGCTACTCGCTACAAACTGAAATAAGTAGAAATAACTTGAAAGTGGTATAATGTGCTTACCAATCAATCTTAATTCTCTGACTGCATTCAAGGTTAATAAAGGACCATTATTGTCATGTTCGCGCTCAAAATATTTATCAGGGAAGCTACAAGCGCTTTGCTTCGACTGTTTAAAGGCTGCGGCATATTTTCAATCCACAATTTCAAAAATGCAGTAAAAATCTCGAAAATTTAGTTCTTAAAAGAACTGTTCGTGCTTAGAAGTACAATTTAAAAGAAAAAAGAACTATGAAAAACGGCAAAAAACGAGAATTACACCCAAAAATTCAACAACACGATATTATACAAAATAATAGAATAATTGTCAAATAATACACGACAACATTGCTGAACATGGCGCAATGTGACCAACAAGGCGATAATAAAAATCGGTTTAAACTAATTTTTGCACCTTTAAGCTAAATAAAATATCTGTTAAATCATTTGCTCTGTAAAGTATAATGAAGTACTGCTTGGTATTTTAAATTAGTCAACAAATTTAAACATTTTTGCTAAAATTTCATTTACTCAGGTTTATAGGCTTTAATGTCAATTTCGATGTGATTGATGACATCGTGCATCGGAAAATGTTTTAAAATTTCTATATTTAGCTTATAAAACAATCATCTTTTGATTTCTAACCATCTTTTCTCTTGACGGATGATAATCAAGATCAAAATGACATTTCTCGCAAATTTTGAAGTATAATTAGTTTCCACTAATTGAAAATTCCTATTACTAATTTTGACATTCAAATTAGAGGAACAAACTTCTACGCTAATTGAAACCACTAATTTAGTCTACTAATTGCGAGGTTCTGAATGACGTTAGGAAAAAATTCAACCATATTTTCATGTTTTTTTTTAATTTTCTCTAAAACGGAATGACATTTTGGAAAAGTATACGGGATTAACCATTTTAGAACAAGCAAAAATTTTTATGAAGAATGCATTTTTCTCAAAATGACAATAATAAAAAAGTTTTTCCTCTTGTAAAGATAATCCGGGGACATACTGTATAATAAAACCTTTTGTGTACACTTAATATATTTTATTCATATTAAAAACAACTAACAGCCCTTTTTTTCTTCTGTTTGTTCAGGATGTCTTATTTTCATGTTTTACAGGGTTTCTCGTTTATAAGTAGAGGTACAGAAATGCGGTTTTCACATTACTGTTCTACTTTATTATGAAACTAAAGCTGCTACACACAGATTTCTTCCAGCTACTGAGCTTCCTGAATTACAGGGCGATTTTGAAATTGTTGCATTTTCCGACCCCCCCGTGCCTTCTTGTCTTATAACTTATTGAAAAGGTGAACTGAGTCCCCTATAGTTTTTCACGTAGAAGTCAGTAGTGTACCTACACTTTCGCTAGGAGCTGTCGTTCTTCAAATAGATATAGGCCAAACTTCCGTTTTTTTTAATTGGATTATTTTCTTGATTATTATTTTTTCTATATTCTTTGCCTTGTTATGAGTTTTCTAAAAATATATATGTTACGGTTAAATTTTATATGTTATAGCGTGTATCTTAAACTAGCTGTACAGAAATTTGGACCGATGTATACAGGGTGTTCAAAAAATATATTTAATATTAAATAAACTTAAATTTTATTATAATTTATCTACTTATTTGATAAATAAAAATATTATTCTGATGTTGAAGTTTCTTTTAACTTGTGTTAGTTATCTGCTTTTAGATACACTTTATATCAATAATTTTTTGGCATATGCAGAATGTACAAAGCTTTTTGTACCATTTAGGACCATACGTATGACTAAAAATGCATATTTTTCGAAAAAACGTCGTATTTTCCTTAAAACAAAAAAAAATCATAACCGATCAAATTGTTTTTTCTAATTTCAATACAGATTAGTCCTACTTGATAAAAATTTCGATTTTTTAAAAATTGTAAATTTGCGGTAAAAAAGATGCTTGACCAAATTTTCACACTCCTATAAAACACCCTGTATACGAGAGTTCGCTAAATATATTTTCGAAAACCACATAGCATCTTAATCACAATAGATGCATCTAATACCTGGTCCAAACCGCATCCCAAAATCTTTATTAGTTCAAGAGATATTCGACTTTAAATTTAGCCTAAAATTTTGCTTGTCCCGATAATTATGTCCACAGAATTATGTCCGGCAGTTTATTTGACGAAATTGTCCACAAGTACTAGTTAAACGCTTTTCTTCACTTACGCACGCCAGAAAGAAATCTAACAACTAACCTGTTTGTTTCGCTTAATTTTAATGGCCAAGCCGTAAGGGGAATCCCCCTGGTTCCGAGCCTTGACGCATCGGCCCGGAACGAAGCGGTTTGACACAGTAGTAATGTGTCGATCCCGCGGATCCCGCACGGTATATCCCGCAACTTTGATCCCGCGGAATCTCAGAGGGATCCCGCATTTGCGGGATTGCATTCCCTAATTGGTTATTCCACGGTAGTTTCCGTATGTAGAAAACTAGTTACGCCACTGGATTCTACCTGAAAAACTCTACGGGACTCAGTTTTCACCTTTTCAATAAGTTCTAAAACCTAACCTATGTGGCGGATTCATCTCTCCAAAAAAATCTTATATGGGTATTTCGCCACACTGAACAAAAAGTCGACATAAATATAATGAAAAAGTTCATTAATATAATGAATTAAATCATTAATTTTGAGCCGATGAACGATTTCATTGGCACAATGAAAAGTAATTCATTAACTCTATGAACTTTATGTTCATTAAATCAATGAACAGTGTTCATTAATTTGAAGAACACATTCATTAGTACAGTGAACACTGTTCGGGAACACTTTTGTTTTTTTAAGATACGTCTACAAAAACGTTCTGTTAAAATGACATTATCATGACATTATATCAAGTTAAACTTAACCAAACTGCTGACAATTAGTCTCGTCGGATTAATACAGCAGTGTTTACAAAAAATGACTATTTCATTTTCTAGATTTTCTTGCAGTGGCGAAATGCCCATATAGGATTTTTTTGGAGAAATAACGATACATACGAAGATACATAGGGAGTCGAAAAATGCAACAATTTCAAATTCGCACTGTGTCTCATTTAGCCCTCTTAGATCAAGAAGGCTAGGATAAATCTGTGTGTGATATCTTTTGTTTCATAAAAAAAAACTAGTACAGTGATGATAAAACCGCATCTTTGTATCTCTACTCATAAACGAGAAACTCCGTGAAACACGAAACTGGGACATCCTGTACCTACCTAACACGGTTAATTAATTTTAGTTACTGAAGAGGGCAATATTTCCAGGTGATTCTGAGATTGACCAACTTTATAAAATATTTAGAATATTAGGAACGCCGACTGAAGAGACGTGGGAAGGCGTGACACTCTCGCCCGACTACAAGCCAGCCTTTCCAAAATGGCCGGCAAAAAACTTAGCCGACGTTATACACTTTAACAATACATCAGAAGAAAATTTGTTGAAGGTACCGTATGATTCAAAGAAAAACGGCGTCGCGGTGGCCTTTGTACAGAAATTATCGTCGATTGTTATTTTAAAAGCTACTGTGACGCCGATTTTTTTGCTGTTTGGTATACAGTTTGGTCCAAATTGTAATCGGGAAACTTCGACGATATATTCTGCAGATAAAAATAAGTGAAAATGTTCTTATTGTTACGTTTTTCGTCGGTTCCGTGTGGATAGAAAGTCACAATTTATGTAAACACTATTTATTTAACACTAATTAACAAAACTAATAACGATAAACGACTTATAGAACTATTTACAAACGATTTATAACTAAGAATTTATTTTTAATTTTAGCGCGTCAACTGTATATTTATAACTGCCCTCTCTAGGCCACTGCCGCCGGCTTTTATACCGACAGGTAAAAGAAATCTAGAATAGTCCAAAGATCGTTAGGCGCATAGAGAAGGTTTTCGAATGTTCTCGTATGTACGCGTCCATTCTAGTGGGTCTCGATTCTTCTCGAACGAATGAATCATTGCGGTGTCTATGCGATGTTAAGGTCATCCGAGGGCGGGCCATATTGTGAGGTTAGGTCGAGTCCACACCGGCTCGCAACACTGCCCCTTTCTTAGGTACATGCTCGTCCCGAGATGTATACGGTGAATGAAGGTATTTGCAAAGCTGGCCCCTGGTACATTGCGAAGTCTGGTAGAAATAGCAGTCTACAGTTTTCTCTCCCGATCTCAGCTTTGGGTTGTAGCAGCAAACGAGGATCTCGATTCCCGTAAATCTGAACAAGACTTCAATCATGTTCCGGATTGTACGCCAACTCAAACCATCGAGTCCACACGCCAGCTTCGGAATGGCTAATCGTGCAATGTTGTTGTTTAGCAGGGCTTCTCTCAGTTCAATCAGGGTCTTCCATAGATTGAGATAAGTCGGCTTACTCGGGGACCATTCCTTGGTGACCAGGTAGAAGATGTGCCTTGCTTGACCATGTGCATTGTCGGTTAGCCTCAAGACGCTTCCAACCTCTGGATCCTGTCGGCGTAGTTCTCCGACACGCCCAAACTTCTCATTGAACGTCGCAGCGATTCCTCTGGACATCCGCAAATCTCGAGCCACACAATGAGCGAGCGAATAATCAGGAGGCACGGAAAAGAGGTCTCGTTGATCTTCTTTGGTTACACCATAGCGAGCCTTCTCACTGCTGTTGTATCGGGCCATGAAATCGTCAAAGGACATCTCCGAATCAGGGGGATCAAAGCTGCAGGTTCTCACGGTCCCAGCACGATCTTCTATTTCGCCTTGGTAGGGGCTCAAACGGTTGAAATGGACTACCCTCGGTTTTCCTTTTGGCAATTTTCTGATACGGTATACGACGTCATTAATTCTATCCATGACTTCGTATGGCCCTTCCCACGAGGATTGTAGCTTCGGAGATAACCCACGACGTCTCTGCGGGTTATATAGCCACACCAACTTCCCTGGTTGGTATCCTCCATGCTCAGCTTGAATGTCGTAGTGTTCCTTCATTCGGTCACTAGCACTTTGAATATTTAGGCGGACTCTCTGATGAATGTCGTCCATCCTTTGACGTAGTGTGTGGACATAATCTTCTCCGGCGACTTCTTCTCCCGGTCGGCAACCAAATTTCAGATCACAGGGTAGGCGCACTTCCCGTCCCATAACGATGCTGGCTGGAGTTTGCCCTGTAGATTCTTGGACGGATGAACGGTAGGCCAACAGGAACAGGTGAAGAAATTTGTCCCAGTCTCTTTGGTGGTCAGAGACTACTTTGGCCAGATAACGGTTGATAGTTCTGTTCATGCGTTCAACCATCCCATCGGATTGTGGATGTAGAGCAGTCGTCCTGGTCTTGCGGATGTTCAGGACTTCACAGACGCCTTGGAACAGATTGGACTCAAAGTTTCTTCCCTGATCTGAATGAAGCTCCATGGGAACACCAAACCTGCAGATCCATTCTTTAACAAGGGCATCAGCAATCGTGGACGCTTCTTGATTTGGCAACGCGTAGGCCTCGACCCATTTGCTGAAGTAATCCATTACTACCACAATGTATTTGTTGCCATCGTTCGTCTCCGGGAAAGGACCAGCCACGTCGATCGCTATTCGTTCGAAGGGACTACCAACATTGTACTGGCGCATAGGGGCTTTACCACGCTTTTGTGGCCCATTAATGGCTGCGCAAATGTCACATTTCTTACACCAGGCCCTCACATCTTCTTTGCAGTTCACCCAGTAGAACCGTTCACGCAGCTTGCCAAGTGTCTTGGTAACACCAAGATGTCTCCGCTGGTTCCATTGTGAACTTCCTCCAAGACTTCTGGGACCCTCTTCTTTGGAATGACGATCTGCCTTCTCTTCTTGTCCCTCCGGTCTCTCGATCACACGGCTTGAAGTAGTCCGTTATCTATTACCAAGGAATTCCACTGGGCCCAGTACGACTTTACGTTCGGCGAATATCTGCAAACTTCTTCCCACGTTGGTCTTTGGCCTGTGTTTTTCCAGTTAATTACTAAACCTAATTCTGGGTCACTGGTTTGGTCATTTGCAAGATCTTCGGGTTGCCAACTATCATTAACCACAGTTGTTCTTAGGAGTTTCACTTCTTTCTCTTCTGCTCGGGAACAATGCTTACAGTCCTTAGCGCAAGGTCTTCTGGAAAGTGCGTCGGCATTTCGATGGATTGCCCCAGCTCGATGTTCTGTGTCGAAGTCAAATTCTTGTAATCGTTCAATCCATCTAGCTACCTGCCCTTCAGGATTCTTAAACTGCAACAGCCATTTCAAAGCAGCATGGTCTGTTCTTAACAAGAACTTTCTTCCATAGAGATACTTGTAGAAGTGTTCCACTGCTTTAACTACTGCTAGTAATTCTCGTCTGGTTACACAGTAGTTCCTTTCCGGTTTTTGACAAGGTCTTACTAAAATAACCAATGACTTTTTCTTGACCATCCTGGATCTGAGACAGAACAGCGCCTAACGCAACATTGCTAGCGTCGGTATCCAATATAAAGTTTCCGTTGCCAAGAGGGTAGCTAAGTATGGGCGCACTAGTCAGGGCCTTCTTCAATTTTCGGAATGCCTCGTCAGAATCTGAGTCCCAAGAGAAACGCCTCTCGCCTTCGGTAAGTCTGGTCAATGGTTTTGCGATGGTGGCAAAACCCTGTACATAGCGGCGATAGTATGCATAGTCCCAAAAAGCTTCGTAGTTCATGTTTATCTTTAGGTATCGGCCACTCTTCCACTGTCTTGGTCTTCTGTGGATCTACCACCGCAACTCCTTGGGAGGAGACTACATGGCCCAAGTAGTGTACCTTTTCTTGACACAGATGACATTTCTTGGGGCTAAGTTTCAAACCAGAGCTCCCTAGTCGCTTGAAAACTTCTTCCAAATTCTTCAGATGATGGTCAAAGGATTTCCCAACCACTATGATGTCATCCAGGTACACTAAACAGGTAGTCCAGGATAGTCCCTTTAACACAGACTCCATTAGTCTCTCAAAGGTAGCTGGCGCGTTGCACAATCCAAAAGGCATGACGGTAAATTGCCACAGTCCGGAGCCCACCGAGAACGCTGTCTTCTCTCTGTCTTTCGGCGCCATGTCGACTTGCCAATATCCACTCTTCAGATCTAACGTAGAGAATATCGTTGACCCCGCCAGTGTGTCTAGAGTATCGTCTATCCTCGGCAGGGGATAGCTATCCTTCTTGGTAACATTATTGAGCTGCCGATAATCAACACAGAACCTGGTGGTACCGTCTTTCTTCTTTACTAGTACTACCGGCGATGTCCACGGGCTGTTAGATGGTTCGATGACACCCTCTTCTTTCATTTCTCGAAGGATTTTGTCAGCTTCTTCACGTTTGGCGAGCGGAAGTCTTCTTCTCGGATTTTGTTTGATTGGTCGTGCATCTCCGGTGTCAATTTTATGTTGTACTAAATTGGTACGACCTCTATCTCCTGCTTCTCCTTTATCAAACACGTCTTGATACTTGATTATTAGGTTTCTCAATTTTCTACTATTTTCGGGAGATAATCCTTTAACGTTTACTAACTCCTTCACCATTTTGTCCGGAATTTTTGAAGTCGAAACTTTGGAGGCTTCCACGCTTCGAATGACTGAGGAGACCGAACAACAGTACCCTAACAGGGTTCCCTTTTTCAAGGATACAGAATAATAATTCGTGTTCATTACTCTCACCGGTACAGTCTTCTTCGCTCGTAGCAGGGCTTTTCCAATAGCGACCCCTCGGCCGATTTCGCTGTCATGGTTCCTTGGCTCCAACAGAATAATACTCCCATTATTCATTTTACCTTCCAGGCAACCATCCAAAAATATCTCACAGCGCTCAGGGATCGAAACATCTGCTACTACCACGCGAAGCGTCTCCTCACATTTTCGATGTAGAACCACTTCTTCTTCATTTATTTTCAAAATTCCCTGTTTGAAGTTTAGTTCAAAACCTTTAGTGGTCATAATGTCCATTCCGAGAATAAGTTCATCTTCGATATCTGCTACTAACACTGGATGTTCAAAACTGGTGCTCCCAATAACAAAATTAAGGTTTACTTCTCCATGGACAGCAGCGGAGCCCCCGTAGCAGTACGTAGTCGCCATTGTGTTGTTTTTAACCTTCTTCGATGTTTTAAGAATGTCCGGTCTGATGATAGTTTTCGTCGCACCTGTATCCAACAGCATGGTCCGGAACTCTCCATCAACAAAACCATCCACAAAAAATGCTGTTGAATTTGTGTTGTAGCGAGGCGACTTGAGCAGTTTTCGTTGGGGCATGTTGGGTACAGGTCGACGTGTGCCCCTTCATTTCGACCCTTAGTAGTTTTCCGACCTCGACGAAGCCGGTTCTTCGTTCTTCTCCTTACAACGGCTTCGCACGTGTCCCACCTGTCCGCAGTTCCAGCAACGAATCGGTCCCTTCTTGCCCATGTACTGGTCCATTACCTTCCGAACAATCCCTTCCACGGATTCGT